TCAGTGCTGAGGGAATGGGCACTGTCGGAGGGTCAGTGCTGAGGGAGCGCTGCACTGTCCTTCTGCTCAGTTTTGACCTTGGTCCCGAGCTGCTGTCGTCATAGAACCATACAGCACAGAAACAGATCCTTTGGTCCAACCAGTCCATGCTGACCATAATCCCAAACTAAACTAGTCCCACCTGCCTGTTCCTGGCCAATATCCCTCCAAACCTTTTCTGTTCACAAACTTAAGCAAATGTCTTTGAAATGTTGTAATTGTGCCCACATCCACCACTTCCTCAGGAAGTTCATTCCACGTGTGAACCATCCTCTGTGTAAACAAATTTGCCTCTTGTGTCTTTTTTAAATCTCTCTCTGCTCACCATAAAAATGTGCCCCCTAGTCTTGAAATCCCCCAATCCTAGGTAAAAGACAACTACCATTAACCCTATCGAAACCTCTCATTATTCTATAAACTTCTCTAAGGCCCACCTCTCAACTGCATATGCTCCAGTGAAATAAGTCCCAGCATCTCCTGCATAATAATATCCTTCCTATAACCCTCAGAACCCTGGCCAATATTTATCTCTCAATCACCAACATAAAGTCAGAAGTCACATGAGCCCAGGTTATAGACCGAAAGGTTTATTTGAAATCACAAGCCTTTGGAGAGCAGCTTTGTCAGGTGAAATATCACTTTACCTGCTGAAGGAGCAGCGCTCTGAAAGCTTGAGGTTTCAAATAAACCTGTTGGTCTATAATTTGGTGTGATGTGACTTTCTGACTTTGTCCACCCCAGTCCGACACCAGCATCTCCACATCAACATCGTAAAGGCAGCTCTGTGCTCAAGGTCAGATTTTTGGGAATTCCCTGTGTCCAAATTCGCTGCTGCATTTCCTCAGCTACAACAGTAAGGAGGACCCCATTAATGCAAAGGCTTTGAAAAGTGCAAAACAAGTGAACATCACAGTTAAAGGGAGCAGGTCAGACAGTGCAGCTTTTTGCTGCTGGGCTTTCTGAGCTGAAATCTCTGGAGTCATGTTAGACTGCCAAAATGCACACAACAGGCAGGGCCCCACACTTTAATCACAAATTGTTAAAAGGCCCTTACAAGGTTAGCCATGTGGACCTCATAGAATAGGAGTCCCCTGATTGGGGCTGTTAACCTGGTCCAATCAGGGAGCCCTGTCTGACAGATATAAACAGGAGTGTCAGAGGGTCTGAAAGCTGGTGCTGAGGCAGCTGCACTAGTGTCAAGGACAGGCCACATGTAAACGAAGAGTGACTTAGTGTCTGGATACCAGCGTCTGTGGAATTATTTCAGCCTGATCGTAAAACAAGAACCACATGTCTTCCTTTGGCTAAACTGACCAAATAACCCAGCATAACAACATTGTGGTGTTTCTGAAGTTAGCCTGTTTCGAGAGCAGTTTGTATTGTGGCTCTGCGTTTGCTGAATGGAATGAATCGCTCGGCCTTGCTCAGAAGCGAGGGACTTTGGAACCAGGCTCAGTGTGAAGCAGGGAACCGGATGGGTCAGTGCCCCCTGTTCTCAGTGTAATGTAACCACACCGAGAGCTGTGAGTTGTTTTCCGTTTTGATGTAAATTAAACTGGGGTCATGAAAATAATTCTGAGAATGCTGCCAAGTTCAAATTCAGACGCTGCTGTCTGGCCTTAAATTTGACATAGTTGTTGTGAACACAGTGTGACAGTTATTACTGTGTGATCTTGACAGTGCCCCCTGTTCTATTTTTAAAACTTGTTTTATATTTGTCGATCTCACAGTTGGCCTTGTAGGACTTGCATTTCTGTGGAGCCTTTCAGAACTTCAGCACATCCCAAAGACTGGTGCAGCCAATGAAATGCTTTTATGGAATGTAGTTGTTGTACTGGGGCAGCCCGTTTGCACCGAGCATCATCCCAATACAAGCCAATCCAATTAGATATTGTGTTTTAAATCTTTTTTTGAGTGATGTGCAGTAACAGTATAATCTGAAAGGTTCAGTGTAACAGCACGGACATGAGTCTCACCTGGGCAGCTGGGAGTTTCAATTCAGTGATTAAACATTACCTGGGATGAGGAATTTTACTACAATGACAGGCTGTGTAAGCTGGGTCTGTATTGTCTGAATTTTTTTGATGAATGAGCAGTGATCTCAGTGAAATATTTGAGATTACTTGTTCAGGTCAGAACTGAGATGTTGCTTTCCCTCCGGTTGGGGAACCTCGAATAGAGATGAGGAGAAATTTCTTCAGTCAGTGGAATGTGAATTTTTGAGTTCCTCCAGCCCAGAGTGTTAGCCTTGCTTTAATGTTGAGTATGTCTCAGGCTGGGATCGACTGAGCTGAAACAAATAGACATCCTGATGTATTTGGCTGCTCTCTTTTCTGAAGAAACACCTGAAAAACTAACTCTGTTTTTCTCTCTCTGTGAATGCTGCCAGACCTGCTGAGTTTCTCCAGCATTCTCTGCGTCTGTTTCAGATTTCCAGCATCTGCAGGATTTCTTTTTTATTTACAGACAGATCTGAACCTGCCTCCTCCACACTATCAGGCTGTACATTCCAGATTAATTGCTCAATGGATGAAGATATTTCTTTCACTGTTTCTCTCCTTTCAGATACCCTCCAAGCTGCGAGGGATTTTCAGCGTTTTCTGTTTCCATTTTCATTTCCAGCATCTGCAGTGTTTTGCTTTTGACTTGTGTTGGTGAGTTTGCTTCCAACAGAGAATGCAACTGTCCCCTTTATCCAACCACCTGCCGCCCCCTATCCAGTCAGACACCCGCTAGTCGTCCCTCAACCCCAAGCCACCAGGATTGCTGTCAATGTATAGTTTTGAATTGGTAATTTGCAGCCAGAGCCCTGGGAACACAGTGAAACACCAACATTTCTGTCTTGAATCAATTAGATGGGAAACTGTGTGCTTCTTTTTCAAAGTCTACCATCCAGTCACCACTTCCATTTCATGGTAAACCCATTTCCTGAAGCCTGACTGATAATCATCATCAATGAGGAACTGAATGCCCTGTTCTCTGCCCTCACTCACTTTTTCCCTTCAGGGTTCTGGAATTCTCAGATAGTATGAACTACCGATGCTGGAGAATCTGAGATAACAAGCTGTAGAGCTGGATGAACACAGCAGGCCAAGCAGCATCAGAGGAGCAGGAAGGCTGATGTTTCAGGTCTGGACCCTTCTTCAGAAATGTGGGAGGGGAAGGGGGTTCTGAAATAAATAGGGAGAGAGATGGAGGCGGATAGAAGATGGATAGAGGAGAAGATAGGTGGAGAGGAGACAGACAGGTCAAAGAGGCGGGGATGGAGCCAGTAAAGATGAGTGTAGGTGGGGAGGTAGGGAGGGGATAGGTCAGTCCAGGGAGGACGGACGGATCAAGGGGGCAGGATGAGGTTAGTAGGTAGGAGATGGGGGTGGGGGTTGAGGTGGGAGGAGGGAATAGGTGGGAGGAAGGACAGGTTAGGGAGGCGGGGACGAGCTGGACTGGTTTTGGGATGGGGTTGGGGGACGGGAGATTTTGAAGCTTGTGAAATCCACATTGATACCATTGGGCTGCAGGGTTCCCAAGCGGAATATGAGGTGCTGTTCCTGCAACCTTCAGGTGGCATCGTTGTGGCACTGCAGGAGGCCCAGGATGGACATGTCGTCTGAGGAATGGGAGGGGGAGTTGAAATGGTTCGCGACTGGGAGGTGCAGTTGTTTAGTGCAAACCGAGCATAGGTGTTCTGCAAAGCGGTCCCCGAGCTTCCGCTTGGTTTCCCCGATGTAGAGGAGGCCACAACGGGTACAGCGGATGCAGTGTACCACATTAGCAGATGTGCAGGTGAACATCTGCTTGATGTGGAAAGTCTTCTTGGGGCCTGGGATGGGGGTGAGGGAGGAGGTGTGGGGACAGGTGTAGCACTTCCTGCGGTTGCAGGGAAAAGTGCCGGGTGTGGTGGAGCTGGAGGGGCGTGTGGAGCAGACAAGGGAGTCACGGAGAAAGTGGTCCCTCCGGAAAGCAGATAAAGGTGGGGAGGGAAAAATGTCTTTGGTGGTGGGGTCGGATTGCAGATGGCGGAAGTGTCGGAGGATGGTGCGTTGGATCCGTAGGTTGGTGGGGTGGTACGTGAGGACGAGGGGGATTCTGTTTTGGTTCTTATTGCGTGGACGGGGTGTGAGGGATGAGTTGCGGGAGATGTGGGAGACACGGTTGAGGGCGTTCTCGACCACTGAGGGGGGGAAGTTGTGGTCCTTGAAAAACGAGGACATCTAAGATGTATGGGAGTGGAATGCCTCATCCTGGGAGCAGATGCGGCGGAGGCGAAGGAATTGGGAATAGGGGATGGTATTTTTGCAGGAAGGTGGGTGAGAGGAGGTGTATTCTAGGTAGCTGTGGGAGTCGGTGGGCTTGAAATGGTTATCGGTTTCCAGGTGGTTGCCAGGGATGGAAACAAAGAGGTCTAGGAAGGAGAGAGGTATCGGAGATGGTCCAGGTGAACTTAAGGTTGGGGTGGAAGGTGTTAGTGAAGTGGATGAACTGTTCGAGCTCCTCGTGGGAGCATGAGGCAGCGCCGATACAGTCATCAATGTAACGGAGGAAGAGGTGGGGTTTAGGGCCGGTGTAGGTACGGAAGAGGGATTGTTCCACGTAACCTACAAAGAGGCAGGCGTAGCTTGGGCCCATGCGGGTACCCATGGCCACCCCCTTTGTCTGTAGGAAGTGGGAGGAATTGAAAATAGGAGAAGTTGTTAAGGGCGAGGACGAGTTCAGCTAAGTGGATGAGGGTGTCAGTGGAGGGGGACTGGTCGGGCCTGTGGGACAGGAAGAAGCAGAGGGCCTTTAGGCCATCTGTATGGGGAATGCAGGTGTATAGGGACTGGACGTCCATGGTAAAGATGAGGTGTTGGGGACCAGGGAATCAGAAGTTTTGGAGCAGGTGGAGGGCGTGGGTGGTGTCACGGACATAGGTGTGGAGTTCCTGGACCAGGGGGGAGAAAATGGAGTCAAGATAAGTGGAGTTCGGTGGGGCAGGAGCAGGCGGAGACAATTCTGGAATTCTCATGGGTTTTTTCGGTCAGGTTCAAATTGAAACTCTGTTTCAATTGAAACACCTACGATCCGACCCCACAACCAAAGAGATATTTCCCTCCCCACCCTATCTGCTTTTCGTAGAGACCGCTCTCTCCACAACTCCCTCATCTGCTCCACACTCCCCATTAATCCCACCACCCCCGGCACCTTTCCCTGCAACTGCTCCTACACCTCCCCCCTCACCTCCATTCAAGGTCCAAAGCAAATCTTTCATATCCGGTAGGGATTCACCTTCATATCCGTCAACTTGGTCTCCTGTATCCGCTGCTCCCAATGTGGCCTCCTGTACATTGGTGAGACCAAGCGGAGACTTGGAGACCGTTTTGTAAAGCATCTGCGCCCTGTGCACGACAAAGAACAACACCTTCCGGTCACCAACCATTTTAACTCCCCCCCTCCCACTCCCTGGGTGACATGTCCATCCTGGGCCTCCTCCAGTGTCACAATGATGCCACCCAGAAACTGGAGGAGCAGCATCTCATATTCCACCTTGGGAGCCTACAACCCAATGGTCTCAATGTGGACTCTACTAGTTTCAAAATCTCCCCACCCCCGGCCTCATCCCATGATCAACCCTCCCTCTCATCCTCACCTCCCTGACCTGACACAATCCATCCATCTTCTCTCCAACCTATCCGGCCCACCTATTCCACTGACTAATCCCCACAAACCCCTACCCGCATCCACCTAATACTATCCCACCTACCTTCCCCCAGCCCGACTCCTCCTCTCTCTATTTCCCAGCTCCCACCACCCCCTCCCCAGCCCTGATGAAGGATCCCGACCTGAAACGTTGACTGTCCTGCTCCCTTGATGCTGCCTGATCTGCTGTGCTCCTCCAGCTCCAACACTGTTATCGACTTTGTTGAATCCAATTGGTTTCTGCAAGAGCTCGGTCTCAGCAGAGTAACTGTGTCAAAGGTGAGGGTTATATTCCCTCCTTGGGTTTCTGTGAGTCTAACACTTGTCATTCTTATCCACAGGAGGTTGGAGTGCAGTGACAGATCCCAGTGAACACCTTCTCTTACACACCAACCCGTACACACACATATCCTTCAAACAACTGGAAACTGACATCTGGACTGGCTGAAGACAACTGAAAATGGCGGAGGGAGCTAAAACGTGGTCCAATGGTTCATTTGCTGACATCCAGAAGGCATTGCTGCCTCCAATATTTGGCATTGAGTTCATCTGCGCTTTTACTGTCAACTCCCTGGCTATCTGGTTCTTCCTGAGCCGAGTTAGAGTCTGGCACACTGGCATTATTTTTGCCTTTACCCTGGCTGTGAATGACCTGGTGTATGTCACTACCTTGCCTCTTCTGATTGTTTATTACGCCAACGATAAGGACTGGATCTTTGGGCAGGCGCTTTGTAAGATTGAACGGTTCCTGTTCACCTGTAACCTGTACGGGAGCACATTCCTGATCACCTCTATCAGCATTAACCGTTACCTGGGCATTGTACATCCCCTGTTTACCCACAAACACATCCAGCCCAAACATGCCAAGGTGGTCAGTCTGCTAGTTTGGGCTCTGTCCATAACCATAACCTCACCAACATTTGTCTTCTCCGAAGTGACAGTGACCAGGAACAGATCAGAGTGTTTGGGCTCCTCCAGCAATGAGCAGCTCCCTCAGTATTTCTCCTACAGCCTGTTCCTTGCAGTCTTTGGCTGTGCCCTGCCATTTGCAGTGACTTCCTTTTCCTACATTTGTATATTCTGGAAGGTCCACAGCAGCCAAAGTGTGGAAGGTTCAGACAGGAGGCAGGTGGCTCTCCTGGTCTGTGCTGTCATTGTGTTGTACGTTGTATCCTTCATCCCATTCACCATCCTGAGAAACGTCAACCTGTACCGTCGGTTACACAGGCTGGACATAGAAAAATCCAGGCCTATATACACCATCTACCAGGTCAGCAAGTGCCTGCTCACTCTCTCCATGTGTGTCCACCCCCTGGTATATGCTGCTGTCCTCAATAATGTCAGGGAGGTATGTCAGTGCTGCACGCGGCACCGCGTCAGCACCGAGGAAACGCAGTGCTAACCAGTTCCAGATCACTAGCCCCCATGGACCAATGTGTGCAATCATTATGCTTTCCCCAAAGCCTGCCCACCACCCACAAGTCAGGAGTGTGATGGAATACTCCCCACTTGCCTGGATGGGTGCTGCCCCAACAACACCCAAGAAGCTTGGCACAATCCAGTACAAAGCAGCCCGCTTGATTGGCATCACATCCACAAACATCCACTCCCTCCACCAGCAATGCTCAGTAGCAGCAGTGTGTACCATCTACAAGATGCACTGCAGAAATTCACCAAAGATCCTCTGATACCGGAGGGCTGCAACCACTCTGACACACCTTTGAAATACCCTAAAACAGCACCAATTGAAGGAGGCAGCTCATCACCACCTTCTCCAGGACAGTTAGCAATGGGCAATAAATGCTGGCCAGCCAGCAACACCCAGAGACCACAAATGAATAAAAAACAAATTCTTGGGGTGTTGAGGGTGGACATTTATTAGCCAGTCCTCCTCCTTCTGGATTCACATTCATTAGGTCATTAACTAGATTAATATGTGCTCATCTCACCTCACAACTATTTGCTTGGATATTTCTCCAGTCCTTAACATGATTACAGCCTCCCTGTGATTATCCAATTTCTAACAACATTTAAATAAAAAGGATTTTTTTTTAAAAATGGTCTGAATTAGTCCTTCTCATCACATCTCAACAGGACATGAATTGTACAGAACTTTATCTAAAATTCACCGAGCCTCACTATCAGAGTGTTACTTTGCAAATGGAATACAGTTTTAACCAATATACTTCAGGAGACAACAACAGAGTTCAAATGTACAATAATTAAATAACCTCCATCAATATATTGACAATTGTAAATTTTTCCTTTTAATTTACTAAATTGTGACTAAAGTATTTTATTGACAATGCCACCTCGTAGTGAAATATTTGATGTGCTCTCATTGTGCGAGATTCACTGTTCATATTCTTCTCAGACACATTCACTCCCACAGCCCCTGGACTGGGAGATTTCTCATTTCCTTCAGGTTTTTTCCAGCTCAGGCTATCGGCTAATGTCCGCTTCCTGATAGAACACACATAGCTTCTCTCCCAAACATCCCACATCCATCACAGTCGTACTTGGTTTCTTTTAATAAAAATAGGATCAAGAGTCGACTTCCTGACTTAATTGTTGAGTAACTCAGCAAAGGATTGGTCAATACAACATGGAATCTCTAATGGGGAAGAACGTTTGAATGGCAGGAATCAACTGTGTTAATGAGTGATTGTTTAAAAAAAACAATGGAACATTCCACTTGGGAAACTGTTCCACATTAAAAAGATGCAAAGACCAAGCCTGAAAACAGCTTGAAATAAAACCATGTGATCTGTCAAAACTAGTGAATATGCTGAGGGTGCAGAGGAACAATTAGAGACATGTCTGTGGGATTTTGAAGAAGGGTCACCAGACCCGAAATATTAACACTGATTTCTCTTCAGAGGTGCTGCCAGAACTCCTGAGCTTTTCCAACAATTTCTGTTTATGTTTGTAATTAGACACACAGTGCTCCCTCACTACTGACGCTCCGACAACGCGGCATTCCCTCAGCACTGACCCTCCAACAGTATGGCACTCCCTCAGCACTGACCCTCCGACAGTGCGGCGCACCCTCAGCACTGACCCTCCAACAGTATGGCACTCCCTCAGCACTGACCCTCCGACAGTACGGCACTCCCTCAGCACTGACCCTACAACAGTGCGGCGCTCCCTCAGCACTGACCCTCCGACAGTGTGGCGCTCCCTCAGTACTGACCCTCCGACAGTGCGGCGCTCCCTCAGCACTGACCCTCCGACAGTGTGGCGCTCCCTCAGTATTGACCCTCCGACAGTGCGGCGCTCCCTCAGTACTGACCCTCCGACAGTGCGGCGCTCCCTCAGCACTGACCCTCCAGCTGTCAGAATCAATTCTGGCTTGATTATCAATGCTGTGAATGTGACTATGTGACCATCATAATGTTTCCCAATGCAGACTGTGCCCACGAATGGTGACTCAACAACTCACAGGAACTGACTGCTCTGAGGCTGACAAACACATCCAATGACCGAATGACCAATGACCTGGCATCCAGTTAATCTTGAACAAACCGTCTGGATTAGTATCACTGATAGTAGGAACTGCAGATGCTGGAGAATCTGAGATAACAAGGT